TCACATATAATATTCAGTATTCTCACTTGCGAATTTGAAAATAGTTCAATTCTATATAATATTAAAGCTAACGACGTGATATTCGTTATACCGAGAGCGAACTTTACTGTATTTACGCGTGGTGTATAGCCTATATTGTATAAGATCCTTTGTAAGAAGGTGTGATGTTCTTTTTGTTCAAAAGCATGCCTTGCAGGAAAAACTCTACTGTTCCATAAAACGATTCAATAAGGATAAAAACATTTTTTTTTGTGATAAAATGAAGACTTTTTGAGTGCTTACTTTTCGTTTTATTGATTTTAATAACTTTTTTTGTTAGAAACAGGAAGTTATTCTACCGCAGGTGCATTATTAGACATTGATTTTTAAACCTCATATAGTTCTTAACGCTATTATGATAACAGTTTGGATGTATAGTCCAACTGTCTCGCTAGTTGTTAGTTTTTAATATTATTTTTGTGTTTAGCAAGTAGCAACGCAATCAAGAATTGTCAAAAGTCAAATAATACATGATGGTGGAAAAGTCTTCCTGTGTCTAAGAAGAAAAAAAAGTTACTCTAGTCAAACTACTGTATCTGTATTTTCGTGTAAAGCGGATTTTGAGCAAAAAATTACGATATTCGTTTTTCTGTCTAGTGATCTGACAAGGGTGACCCTGTAGCTCGTACACGCAACTTTTGTTTAATCACACACAAATTAATTATCGTATTTTAAGACCAACGACGGCGGTAAGCCGATATAATACACAGGCCAACACATCCTACTTTTGGCCTTGGTACAGAACTAAAGCTAAGAGCCCCTCTTAAATAATAATTAATTTTTCGACATGAATATGTATACCTTAAATATTAGTTTTATGTATGGACCATATAGGAGTAGGTGTAAATAAAAAATAAAATATCAACACATTTATAGGTATTAAAAATTGAAAACATAATATGTAATATTATGCATAGAACAAACTAAAAATGTATGTTAAAAGTTAAAATTTTGAAGAAAAAAAAGTTTGTTAGGTAAAAATAAAATAGTGCGATTGTTATATTTATCATATTTGATAACTAATGACGTGATAAGAGTGATTTATTAATAATACATTTATTTTTACTTTTATATCGTTTATTATTATTTGTGAACAATTTTGGAGAAAAAAATTATATTATCTGCATATTTACAAGTTTAAGGAATATTTAAAGAACATTTTAGGGTTTTTTTAGAACATATTAGCATTATTTTTTAAGCTTTTAAGAACCTAAAAATCCGCTCTTTAGTTATAACTTATACTGTATAATATTTGAATGCATGTAATATGTATGTATAGTTCTGGTACAATCAAAAAATTATAATACTTAATACACATTGTTTGCATGAACGCCGAGCCCCTGTAACATGGATCCTTCTGGCTTCTGACCCCCCCTCCCCCTTGTGGGGCCCTCAATAATACATAATATTGCTTCAATTATCGCTCTACCTTAAATATAGACACGAAAAATCCCCTTAATCCTGATTCGATGGCCACTGTGGAGTTTATGTTATAGGACATTTTCTAAATATCTTACCTTATTAATTATCCTTAAAAAACTTGACATCATCATTGACTACATCTGGCCTCATCACAGCCATTATATTTATTGTGTTGCTGCGTAGTCTGTAATCCAAATGTATCTCTTTTGTTTCTGGACCCGGGCCTGTATTTTACTCAAAATAAAATAAAACAAAAAAAAATTGTAAAAACATTTTATTAGATAAACAAGATTATATTATATATATTGTTGATTGAGAGTATCAGCCATATATATATACAGGGTGTCCCACAGAGATCTGACATTCTGACAAATGAAATAACTTTTGTTCTAATCAATATTAAAAAAAAAATTTTTTTTTTATTGGTCTTGAAATTTATACGATGTTTGAGTAACTTGGTTGTTTTGCAGAATTCAATGGTGTTGGTTTCATTGTCAGGATTTGGGCCTAGGCTTGTTCCAATTTGATGGCTTATATTGAGATCCTCTCTTTGTTTGATGACGTTCTGCATTAAAAATTCTTTTAAATATAATTCATAGACACTTGCGCTACATTTTTTATTTTTTAATACTGAAAATAAAAAACTTAAAAATTGATTTTTTTTTCGAAATATTCAATATAGCCAATTTGTAAATTTGATTTTCAGAAAAATGTATATGGT